ACATAAGCGGGACTTAAGGAGGGCTCCCAAAACAGCTTTCTTTGTCCGAGAATGACTCTGGGGCTGGGAGTAAGCAGTGAGAGACGCCTTTCCTCCGAGGTATGATGTTAGTTTCACCGTCAACTGACTTACATCATATGGATTAGGGATGCACCGATACTGGTATTTCGGTATCAAGTACTGATCTGTTTTTTTCGGTACTGGCCAATACCGAATATTGATACCGGAAGCCCCATTAAGGAAGCCAGGCGGCATGTAATGACTCACCACCTGACTTACTGATTAGCCGGGAAGCTGTCCCCATGCTTCCACGTCACCAGGTGACGAAAAAGCATGGAGTGGGCTTTCTGGCCGATCAGAAAGCCGGGCACCGCGTCATTACACGGCGCCCGGCTTCCTGTTTGGCCAGCTTCCCGACCAATCATGAAGTCAGGCAAGGAGTCATTACACGTTGTCCGGCTTCCTGATTGGCCGGGAAGCCGGCTCTATGCTCCCTCATCACAAGTGATGAGGGAGCATGGGGCTGGCTTCCCGGCCAATCAGGAAGCCATGCAGCGCGTAATGACTCGATGCCCGGCTTCCTGATACCGGCAGTATCCGGCTAGGCATCGGAGCATTTGGTCGAGTACGAGTACTTGCCCAAATACTTGGTATCGGTGCATCTCTAATATAAATAATAAAAGCTGCCTCCCAACCCCTCAGGGCACAGGGCGGCATCAAGTAACACATTCCCGTAGTCATGTACACCAACAGTGCGGTTCTGGTGTTTGATGGCAGTACGGCTAACCAGCCTTGTACATGACTACAGGACTGTGTTATTTGATGCCGCCGTGTACCCTCAGGGGTCGGGAGGGACTTGATGGAGGGCTTCTAGTCAGCCGCAGCTTTTAGACCAATGCTGACTCCCAGCCCCAGAGTCCTCCCCTCCAGTATGCCTGCCCAGTTAAACTTACTGGAGCGCAAATACTCAAATTCATGCCCAAGATCAATCCTGGTTCTCTATAAAATTCATCATTCATAAAATTCATCATTGGGGGATTGACCTTTGGATGACGAACCCCTTCTTTTGGTAATCAGTCTGTAGCCAACCGGTTTTTTTAACTTGTTTTTTTTAAAAATAGACATTTTTTACATACTTGCACACTCTGTTTGACCCTTCAACATAGGGGGGCCCCTCTTACTTACAATTCATCTTTAGCAATTTGTATACAAAATCTAAAATTTCCTAGACGAGAAGCGTACGTGTGTCAAATGCAGATATTTAACAGGGCGTTGCGCAGTAAAAATCATAGGCCACCATGTGTGGGGAGAGGTTGGTTCTACACATAATTAGGTTATCATCATTTTTAGATTTACAGGTGACAAATCATGTTTGCGAGAGCTTCTCTGTGTAAGAAGCAAACGTTGGCTGATCGGGTTTCCCAGCATGCTGGCAAGTTTCAGCCACTCGAGTGCACGCATCCATCTTTAGTAGTGGTTAAAGTGCACCTGACGTTTTAGCAGCTGACAGAACGTTGAGAAAGCAGGGCAGGAAATGTAGTTGTTGCGCTTGTTTCTTCCAACAGTGAATAATTTAGTGTATTTCTGTAGTAAGAGGAGCATCTGAACTCATGTAGAAGTGCCTCCTTCATCCTGTGCTCCAGGCCACCCAGCTGAGAGATTATGTGCCGGGGCAAATCAAGGAGAGATGAAGCGCTAGGAGAAGGAGAGAAAACCTGGCGGGAGAAGATAACGTTCATCATGGCATCCCCCCCGGTTTTAGCATTGAACTTAAAAATTTGGGCACATAACATCCAAATCCTCTACGACCTAACCTCTCACATCACCGGAAGGGACCTTTCCCTAGTTGTGTGCCAATATAAAAAAAGGGGGGGGCATCCATAATCCATGTCGTGCAGTCTATCAAGACGTTCTCTCTGTCCACGACGATCTCACCACTACTCAGTGCTATTCATCTGCCTCTGCATCATTGTGCGAATGTTAAAAATGGCCACTCCGTAGGAAGAATAAAACATCCCCGAGCTCACACACAGGTCGCCACTCCCCTGCATTAAATTTTTTTTTTTGGAAAAGGCATTAACAGCCGTTGATCTGTACCCGGTTCTAAGGTGCATCTCATTTCAGTTTTTGATCCCTTTTTATTCCACTTTCTCGTGTTCACATGAATGTCGATGTTGCCGTTGTGATCCTGCCTGCGCCGGGAAATTGATCAAAACCGCTGAGCGTTGATTTGTCTGCTTTCGTTGCTTCCGACCAGATTGAAAAACAGAAGACGACAACCAACCGTCCAGTTATAATAAAACTGAATGAAGCAGGATTTAAACTGGTCCAATCTGGATTAAAACTGCATTTTTGTTCAAACGTTATATATCTACTTAGGATGACGCGGTTAAAAATGTTCAGCAGCCAGTCTCTGATTTCTCTCTGTTTTCCTGGTGCTTACTCCAACAACAACAAAAAAACACATTGGGGGAGGAGTGTGCGCCGAGCTTTTCCATGTACCAGCATTCAGAAAACTGCTAAAATATGTTTTCCTCAGAATTCTAGTTTCTTCTTGTGAATCCTTTCGAAATGTTTAGATAGCCCCTCCTTCCTGGCAAAGAGGTTGCCGCATTCTATGCAGACAAAGGGCTTGTGGTCCGTGTGGGTCATTTTGTGTTTTGCCAGGTTGGACTGGTTGGCGAAGCCACGACCGCACTCTGGGCAGACGTAGGGCTTCTGGCCGGTGTGGATGATCCGGTGGGAGATGAGGTTGGACTGGTTGGCAAAGGCCTTGCCACACTCGGAGCACATGTACGGGCGCTCGCCCGTGTGGATGACCTGGTGAGCATTTAGGCAGGAGCGGCTGGCGAAGTCCTTGCCGCAGACGGTGCAGGAGAAGGGTTTCTCGCCCGTGTGGATCCGGAGGTGCTTCACCAGCGCCGGGTTGTTGCTGAAGCACCGGCCGCATGCCGGGCACTCCACTGGCTTTTCTCCAGTGTGGACCTTGGCATGGGCCTTCAGGTTGAACTTGGTGACGAAGAGCTTGCCGCACTCAGTGCAGGAGAAGGGTTTCTCGCCCGTGTGGACACGCTGGTGGGCAACCAGGCTGGGCTTGTATCGGAAACACTTGCCACACTCGATGCAGGTGAAAGGCTTCTCGTCCGAGTGGCAGCGCTGGTGTTTGGTGAGATAGGAGTAGAGGCTGAACCCTTTGCCACACTCCGAGCAGATAAACTGTTTGGGCTTGTCCACTGGTTGCCCATACTCGTCAATGGGCAGGCTGCCGGCTCCGGATGTCGTGGCCGAGTCGCAAGAGTCTTGATCGTTCATGTCATAGCCTGTAGAGAGAAAGAGAAGGTCAAGTTTTGGTCCCACTCAAGCTATTTTTAATGTAGGCCTTTTATAGTGGTTTGTGTATCTCTGGGAAGATTTCCACTCAGATTCAGTCCTGGTCAGACTCTGACCAGAAGGGAGGATAAATCTACTGATAGATGGATGAAT